ATGAGAACTTCCATTCTTAGCTAATGCTGTCACTGACAGCTTTTCCAGCTTAGTTCCATGGGAAGGTTGGTGTGTGGTTTTTTTTTTTTTTATTTATTTTTTTTATAAACACTGTTACTTTATTTTTAATAATGAAATATATGTTTCCCAGAAAACAAGAAATAGAACTGGTCAGTGTTCCCTCTAAGCTGCATGACAGCACAGCTTCACAGGTAATTAATCAGCCCCACCCAGCCAGTCAGATCCGTGCACTGAGCCCTGAGCCTCTGACTGGGCAAGGGTGATTAGTCACCTGTGACGCTGTGCTGCCCAGCAGCACAGAGAGAACACTGGAACTGGTAGCCAGCAGCTAACATCGACACTACTTAGTTCTGTTAGCAGGTCTGCACTGCTTTGCTTACCTACAAGGTCCATAGCCAATGGAACCACGTGGCTTTCACTGACTCTGGTTCACCATTTCCCGTCAAGGCCTGGCCTGGGCCACTGCTTCCTGCAGATGTCCTTGGCTGGAAACAATGAACTGGAGCTCCAAGGCTACAGACCCTTCAGGTAAACAAAGAAGCACAGGTCCGCTAGTGGCTTTCCCAAAGAGGGTCCATGACCCATTTTGAGAATCACTAACCTAAAATAAAGGGCAGGAGGAGGCAGCACTGTAGAATGGAAATCCTCACATGAATATTCTCTACTTCCTTGGCAAAAAAACAAAACAGATTTAAAGAAAAAAAATCAAGGAAAACAAAAATTAACAACCTACAATTTTTGTATTGTGAATGTTTTCTTCCCCCACCCATATCACTATCTTGGGTTTCTCTGTAGGTTGAATCCCTGTATGACATTACATTTATGACTTTCATCTTATTTGTGTTGTTAAATGGAAGGAGTAATTTAAAATACATTTAAAATATGGAAAGAAGGCTTTAGTGGACAGGAGAAGTTCCCAGGATTGTCAGCAACCACTTTGGGAATTATTTCTGTGACATGCTTATCTGTGGGGCCAGCTAAGAACTTACACAAATGTATTTGAGACAGATGGAAGAAGATGCTATTGTATTCATATTGACCATACACTTTCTAATTCTATTAATCTAAAAAAAAAAGACACCTTGTTGCATTGATATAAAAATACGTTGTCACACATTCTTTTCAAGACGAAACTTTAGATCTCATAAAGCTGTCATTTCTCGTCAATACTGATGATATAAACTATCTCTTTGGTATGATGAATACTGACATCTTTGCTGCTATCGGGCATAGCATGAAAATCAAAGAAAATATCACGTATTAAATAGATTGCCCATCACTAAATAATTTTGGTCAGGAGGAATGAAGGTGCTTTAGCACAACTGACAGTCATTTGTTCAAAAGGGTAAGAAAAAACCTCAACACTGACAGAAAAGGTCATTTTGTCTGTGGGAATTGCACAGAGATTTTGACTGTTCCAAGGCTGTGAATACAACACACCAGCACTGGGGGCAGCATTTAAAATAAAAATTGCCCACGAAACTCACAGTAAATATGTGATACAAGAAAATTAAAAGGCTACCAAAGCTGCCAGTGATTTGCGTCCTAGATATGAACATTGAAGTTAAGGTGATTACTCAGCTGTTTGAAGTTAAGGATGAATGTAAATTTGTGTAGGAATCAGGTGTGAAGTTTTAAAATTTAACTATTAGTGTTAGAGAGATTAAAAACTAAAAAAAACAAAATACGCACACACACAGCATCTATTTCAGAACTAGACATATGTACTAGAGGTTGGGTTCATAGACAATTATAGTAAATACTGTAGAGATTTTGAGTATCTTATGGCAAAATATTCAGATCATTTAGAAACAGCTTCTACAGAATTCCTGTAGTATGTTAATTTCACACCCACTTTAGTATTTGCAAAAGCAGTTGTCAAGGAAACTAATTAGTCGCACAATCTTAATTGAAAAAAATTACCCATATCAAAGGGACTATATGCTAAATGTTCAAATAGTCCAACTTCTCCTTAATGCTAGTAAAGTTTGCGTGAAAGTACTAATAAGAGATCCCCTACCCTACATAGCTGAAAAAGCACGTTCATAAAATGAAAAATGCTCTATCTCCATTGGATCAAGTGTAGGCAAATACCAGCCCAGGCCAGATCCAGTGTGCAATGGTTAAGTTTTGGCAGGTCCCCACCACTATATTTACCTGCACGGCTGCAGGTACTGAATACTGAAGTTCCTGTTGCCTGCAGATTGTCATTCTAAGTCAATGGGAGCTGCAGAAAGTGGTGTCCTGGTCCGTGCTGGTCTCATTGGCTGGAAACAGTAATCCACAGCCAACGGGAGCACCAATGGGAGCATCCGCGCAAATAAATATAGCGGTGGCAACTCACCATGGTCTAACCTTGGCAAACGATCACCATGCTATTGCCCACCCCTAATTTAGATGCTGGTTACCTAAACTGCCTCGTATATAAAAAGTATTAAGCTTTCTTACCACTCATGCAGGCATTTAGAGTTTGCCAGTTGCTGGAATTATTTATGATTTTAAAAAATTGTAAATGGTTAAGCTTGTGTTTCATTAGGTATATCTATATCTAAGAAACATTAAAGTGAAACTTGTATGCTGTTAAATGATTCCAAATATATCAATTGTATAAAGGTAAGTGCCCTTCCTCTGTCTTTCTATTACATTTTATACTTGCAAGATTATTTTATTCCTTGCAAGGAAAGATTTTGCATAGATTCATATGAGCAAGACCACAAGGGATCATTGTGATCATCTGGTCTGACCTCCTGCATAATACTGGTCATAGAATTTACCTAGAATAATTGCTGAGGAAGATCTCTTTTCCTACAGCCCATCTCCATCTTCATTTTTTGCCTCAGGGTGAAATTATAATTCTGAACTATGATACCACAATGTGGCAAACAGACTGATGTCACTGAATCAAACAGAAGTAGACTGCAGTGTGAGGGAGTTGAGCCACATCAAGACCCAAATAAATTTCCACTTACCTACACTGACCAAGTGCACAAATCAACACCCAGCGTATATCAGGGCTTGATTTGATCCTAAACTTTATATTTACTAAGTTATGTGCCATGCTTCTTAACTGTTTATAAATCAGGAAACTGGACTTTAAATATCAACAGATACATTTCTGATAATATAGGAAAAGCCATTAACTTAGGAGCCTAAAACACTTCTTTTGAAAATATATTTTCTAAAACAATCCACTAACAATGTAGTAGATTGACTGGTTTTTTTAGTAGCCAATTAGATAATAGGAGAAAAAAATGTTAATTATTTGAAACATTTCCAGGAATACATCAAGTTTATAGATCATTTGGAGTCAATACTACATTAGTGAAACCAGTGCCACTCATACTTTTAAGCTCCATATGGAATACAGGTAGGCTATGTCTAGACTGGAATTAAGTTTTTCCGTTAAAAGCATTTGTGGAAAAGAGCATCTAGACTGGCATGAATGCTTTTGCGCAAGAAAGCCCCCATCGCCATTTTCGCCATCAGAGCTTTTTTGCGCAAAATGGTTCTCAGTTGTCTATACTGGCCCTCTTGCACAAAAGCATTTGCACAAGAGGGCTTTTTCCTGAATTGGAGAGTCATTGTATTTGCGGAAGAACATTGAAAATCTTACATTAGATTATCAGTGTTCTTGTGCAAATTCAAAGCGGCCAGTGTAGACAGCTGGCAAGTTTTTCCGCAAAAGCACTTGCTTTTGCAGAAAAACTTGCCAGTCTAGATGCAGCTGTATTGACATCGTATTACTTTTGTCCTTTTTTCCATTGGCCTTGATATGTATTTGGCAAGTTTAAAATCTTAGTGTAATGTATTATCTATGTAATTTATAGCTAACATAAAACCTCTGTTAAATTTAGATGCTGCAAAGGTTTAATACCTGACTTCTAAATTTAAATGTTACTGCCATTTATTTCATTTTGAACTTATCAAATGTAACAGTTCACAATTTGGACTAAAACCCTGAAAACTCATAATTCTAAAATTAATATGTGTTTTAGTTATAGTAAATCAGAAAATATCTAACCCCCATAAGTTAAATGAATACATTTGTACTGTTGTTGAAAAGAGTGCTAGGGAATTGGTAAATTATGCCTCAAATTTCAGTTTGAAATAATTTTAAAAGATTAAATTTTAACCTTCAATAAGTTAATAATGGAAACACTGCTAGTCCTGAACCACTGTGTATTTTTGCTTTTAAAAATGTTAACTCCAAACTATTCAAGTTATACACATGAACAATTTATTTATAGGAGTAGTTACATTTGTAGAGTTGGACCCTTAGAACTTTATACATTAAGTACCTCAAAGATTAACTAAAAGGATTAAATCAAAACATCCCTATTTAAAGGCTTGATATTGTAAGGTGCAGAGTATGGAACCTGCTCAAGCAAAGCCCTTAATCCCATGCTTAATTTAAAGCATGAGTAGTCCCATTGACTTGGACTGAGCCCCAGGATCCCAACACATTACCAGATTTACAACCGACAACATAAACAATTTATAAAACCCCCAATCTTACAAAGGTACAGCAACTACATTTCTGAATAACAGCAATCTCTTATTAACTGCCCATACCTGAATCTGTGGTTCTATGTTTCTTCTGCAATTAGCAGTGACTTCACTAATATCAATAGTGGCAAATGGAAAGGTGTTTTGATTGAAATCCCCTTGGGGAAGGGACCATCTTTCTGTTGCATTCGTACAATGCATAGTACAATAGCATCCTGGTCCATGACTAGGGTTGTTAGGCCATACAATAATATAAACAACAACAACAAACATCTCCAATTTATGAGTTAGAATCCAATTAGAGCTGAAATAAAGAATATTATGATTTCAAGTCTAGGCAATTAAAAACGTTTGCAATAATCAATAATCTTAAATCCAGAGACTGCAACAAAAACCAAAGAGCATAGACATTAAATGCTATTATGAGAAAACAATCAGGTCACAATTAGACGTGTATTTTAAAATTAACTTACCAGTAATAATGTTGGGCTTTGGTGGCATGCTGAACTCATACAATGTTGGTTCAGAATAACCCAGTCTATTGGCAGCAGTAATTTGCACTTCATAACCCATGGTCCATTGAAGATGCTCTAAGATTATGTGGTCTCTGCTACCCTGTACTTTTTTCTCTAGCCACTGATCTTCCTTATCTTTCTGTAAAGATGCAAATATTAGTTTAAATAATCACAAAACAATATACTAAGCCCTAAATTGTTTGATGTGCATAATCTAAATCAACCCAGATATACAAGGCCTCTTTTTCAAAGAGCTTTCACGGTCCATTTTGTCTTCCATGTGAGCTGTGGTAATCAGCTCCTTTGAAATTAGGACATTTTTTACTTTGACCCTTAAATATTCATTTAGGAATAGATAATTAAGCACCTGCATTTGAAAATTGTATTCTAAATTTGTATTTTGTTCATGTACAAGTTTCAATTTCAAAGTATAGAAGAATTATCATTGATATGTTTTTGAAAGGGTACAAAATTGCTTCATTTAGAATCAATGGTATTTAAACAAAAAATTCTCAATTTAAACAAAGTTGACCAGTTACAAAATGCAATAAATAAAATAAATGCTCATAAAACATATTTGTGACTGCATCGGTCTTTAGTTTCAGTGCAAAACTGAACAATGATGGAAATTCAGGAATACTACATTAAAACTCTAGCAAATAGCATATCCCGCTGAAGCATGTTATGAATTCATTTATGAAACATCCTGCAAAATATATAAGTACACAGAGCAAATTATAAAATTGAATACAGAAACATGGTTTTTGGTATATTTTAGGCAGCATTAGAAGTTGCCAGGAGCCAGGGAGGGTAGAAATGTTGGAAACGGAGACTAAGATTAGAAACAAAGAGGTGAGTGGAAGGACTAGTATCTACTGAGGAGACCAGTATAGAGGCAGGAGAGACTATGCTGGGAGAGGGGATCAGATGGAGTTAAGGGAGTATGGATTGGATAAATGGACTGTAAAATGGATAGAAAGCTGGGTAGGGCCCAACAGGGCCCAATGGGTAGTGATCAACAGCTCTATGTCAGGTTGGCGGTCGTTTTCTAGTGGAGTGCCCCAAGGTTCAGTTCTAGGACCGATTTTGTTCAACATCTTTATTAATGACCTGGATGAGGAGATGAATTGCACCCTCAGCAAGTTTGCAGATGACAGTAAGCTAGGGGGAGAGGTAGATATGATGGGATAGGGTCCACAGTGACCTAGACAGATTAGAGGATTGGGTCAAAAGAAATCTGATGGGGTTCGACAAGGACAAATATAGAGTCCTGCACTTGGGATGGAAGAATCCCAAGCATCATTACAGGCTGGGGACTGACTAGCTAAGTAGCAGTTCAGTAGAAAAGGACCTGGGGATTACAGTGGATGAGATGCTGGATGTGAGTCAACAGTGTGCCCTTGTAGCCAAGAAGGCTAATGGAATCTTAGATTGCATTAAGAGGAGCATTACAAGCAGATCTAGAGAAGTGATTATTTGCCTTTATTTGGCTCTGGTGTGGCTACATCTGGATTATTGTGTTCAGTTCTGCCCCCACCTCCCCCGCCACTATAGAAAGGATGTGGATGCATTGGAGAGGGTCCAGCAGAGGCCATCCAAAATGATTAGGGGGCTGGAGCACATGACCTATGAGGAGAGACTGAGGGATTTGGGTTTGTTTAGTCTGCAGAAGAGAAGAGTGAGGGGAGATTTGATAGCAGCCTTCAACTTCCTCATGGGAGGCCTCATGGAGAAAGGCTATTCACAGTAGTGAAGGATGGCAGAACAAGGAGCAATGGTCTCAAGTTACAGTCGGGGAGGTCTAGGTTGGATATTAGAAAAAACTATTTTACTAGGAGGGTGGTGAAGCACTGGAATGGGTTACCTAGGGAGGTGATGGAATCTCCATTCCTATTGTTTTTTAAGTCTCGGCTTGACAAAGCCCCAGCTGGGTTGATTTAGTTGGAATTGGTCCTGCCTTGGGCAGGGGGCTGGACTTGATGACCTCTTCCAGATCTATGGTACTAAGATGAGGATCCTGGGGAACCAAAAAACTGGGACTGGCCAGGCAAGATGACTGAGAGAAGGAGCCTGAGAAGGATACTGAAAAGATCAGTTTAGGGAGGGAGGCTAAGATGGGGAGAAAGAGTGGACGAAAGTTTTGGACCCAGACAGCGAGACCAGAAATACATTGGGATTAGTTACGGAAGGTGAATGGGACTTGAACAAGTTAGGGAGGAGAAAGAGTATTGGAACAGAGATGTATTGGGAGAGGCATCACAGGATAGATTAGCAGAGAAGAGAAGCAGAAAGGTCTGTGTCCAGTGAAGCACTCTTCTGAACTTTAAACGGAACCCAACCTTCCTGAATCCCAGGATGTCAGCTAATATCTGTAAATCCAACTGATTTATGCCTAATCTTCATTTATTGGCTTCTCCACGTACGGACTAACAAACTACTATTGCTATTATTTACTCCATTAACAAAGTGGTAGAAGGTCTATGAGGTGGATCTAAAGGTTTCAACCCTGCTGGTGAATTATGTGAGTGAATAAGACAGTATGTGTTAGAATTTCTGCTTTTAGTGGTTGTTTAAAAAAGAACCTTAGGAAATTACACCCAGTAAACTATGATATAGGAATATTAAGATAACAGATGAACACTGAAAAGTTAAGTATTTAGCACTGTATTTAATATTTTATATGTTCAAAGTCCCTTATGACTTGCAGATATGTGTGCTCAGCACTTCTGCAAATGAGACCCCAGGCTCTCAAGTTTGGGAACCCAGAAAATAAACATTTATCTACAAAACGTTTGATTTAAGTGACTTGCCTAGCATCACACAGGAGCCCTGCAGCAGAGGTAGGGACAGAATTCAGTTCCCCAGGCTGCCTTCAGCTTCCTTAACCATAACACTAGCCTGTACCTCATTCATTGCACACCAGCCAATTTTTGCAACAAATGAGGCAGAGGTACTATAGGCAACAGCCTCTTTCACTACTGAACTCTCATCCACACCCAGACCAGTTCCATCATGTGAATGAATGAGATTGGGTTCTGTGGAAAAACTAGCATGTGGTTATGTAGTTAAACACTAGAAAATAAAATACAACGGGACTGAGTTAAGATTCACAGGCAATCTTAATTTTAACATGTCCTATCTTTTGCATGTTTGACTTTGTAACCTTAAGATTGTTAACATAATTTTTATATGTGATATATAATGACATTTCAATAATCATAGTGTACAGCTATGAAGATCACAGCACATTATTATATATGTGTGTATATGTATTTGCAAGTAAAAAGGCTGTAGTTCTTTTTTCCTCCAAGGCTCTATATCTTTTCTCTATGGTAACATGATCTGTGTTCTGTGGAGCACATTTCAAAGTTTAATAAGAACATAAGAACAGCCATACTGGGTCAGCTCAAAGGTCCATCTAGTCCAGTATCCTGTTTGCCAACAGTGGCCAATACTACGTACCCCAGAAGAAGAGATCACAACAGGTAATCCTCACGTGATCCCTTCCCTGTCACCCATCTCCAGAGATACAGAGGCTAGGGACACCATTCCTGCTCATCCTGGCTAATAACCATTGATGGACCTAACCTCCATGAATCTATCTAGCTCATGGAGACTAAGCATAAGGACTAAAAGCCAAATCTTGTCTCTCTAACCTAAAGCCTATGCACCAGCAGAAACCCAGATATAAAGGCATTATGTTGGGTATCCACCCCACACAGAACAGATTAGGTTAACTAACTTGATAGGATGCAACTGAGGTAGAACCATGGATTTCAAGGCTGACCGATAATAGAAGTGAGCTGAAGTACCAAGGCTGGTATAAGGCCAGGAATTTGTCTGCAGAAAGGGGTTCCTGGGGAAGTAGGCTGCAATCACCCCGAGAGGAGAGACATGTGTTTGAATAACAGAATTCAGTAATCTGCAGTTAGTTGTGAGATGAAAGAGTTCGGGTTGGTAAACTTAGAGGAGGGCCAGGAGATCAAGAAGAAGGCAGCAAGAAGTCTATGAAAACAACGGCAGGAGCTAGCAGACTACAGTTACCAAATCCAAAATCCCTGGACTAGAACATAGAATAGTGAGCAGGGATAAACTGAAATGGATTTGGCCTTGGACTGGAAGGCTGAATGAACAGCAACTGGTTGTTGATCAAATGGGACTTTGAAACTCTGGAAGGGGAGGACCTACAATGACCATAAAGAAGCAGCAAACTGTGTCTGAGAAAGAAAGAGACCAATGGGCAAGGAAAAAGGCAATTAATCCCCAGATATGGCCACTAGGAAGCATAGGAACTCCTAGTTGTGAGTGTACTCTATGAAAGACTTATTCTTTCCAAAAGGAGAAATCCAAGGACTGAACTCAAGGAAGATTTTAGTAGTATTTTGGTAACATAGGGTATGTCTACACTACAGAGTTAGTTCGACCTAACGGACGTTAGTTCGAACTAACTTTCATAGGCGCTACACTAGCGCTCCGCTAGTTTGAACTTAATTCGAACTAGCGGAGCGCTTAGTTCGAACTAGGAAAACCTCATTTTACGAGGATTAAGCCTAGTTCGAACTTACTAGTTCGAATTAAGGGGTGTGTAGCCCCTTAATTCGAACTAGTGGGAGGCTAGCCCTCCCCAGGTTCCCCTGGTGGCCACTCTGGCCAACACCAGGGAAACTCTATGCCCCCCTCCCGGCCCCGGCCCCCTGAAAGGGGCACAGGCTGGCTACGGTGCCCGTGCCAGGTGCAAGCCTGCCAGCACCCATCCAGCAGACCCTGCACCTGGCACGGATCAAGCCACCCACACGATGGGCCCCAGCCCTCCCCCTCTTCCCGGGACCAGGCTGGCGGCTCCCGGGAGCTTGCCCGGGACCGCAAGAGGCGGGCACCCGCCTGGGCTAGTG